TATATATATATATATATATATATATGTATATGTATATATACACTATGAGGGAGAGAAGAGACCAGCATAGATTTATATATCTTTTCTTTGGCGTCTCAAATCTGTTTTGTTTGTCCCCGCGGCACTTATTTTTATTTTATTTATTTAAATATTATTTAATTATTTTTTATTTTTTATTTTTTATTTTTTATTTTGTTTTGTTTGTTTATAAACAAAAACTTTACATATATAAACAGCATAAAAAGAGAAACAGTTTTCTCTGCTGAGTTGATGTGTGCATACACCCCACGCGGACAGTATTTTAATATTTTAATAAATTTATTTATTTAATTTATTTAATTTATTTAATTTATTTTATTTATTTATTTTTTTTATTTATCTCTGCTGCTTTTGCTGGAGTATAACTAGGCAGAGACGGCAGTGGTTGAGGGCCCCGCTGAGGGCCCCCGCCGCCGCTGCTGCTGCTGCTGCTGCTGCTACTGCTGCTGCTGCTGCTGCTGCTGCTGCTGCTGTTGTCTTCTGCTCTTGGGGCCCCTTGTCTTTCACGTTGATGCTTCAAATATTAACACAAAAAAACAAAAAAACAAAAATTTTTGTTGCAGTCTGAGCTCTCAGCAGCAGCAGCAGCAGCAAGCAGCTCTACACCCAGCGACCAGCCACGAGCGTTACACAGCAGCAGCAGCAGCAGCAGCAACAGCAGCAGCAGCAACAACAGCAGCAGCAGTACCTCCGCCTACAGCAGCAGCCCTGGAGGGAAGAGAAGCAAAGCAGCAGCAGCAGCAGCAGCACCCCCCGTACCCCAACCACCAGCAGCAGCAGCAGCAGCAGCAGCAAGATGCCTGACACAGAAGATGGCAGCACCAACAGCAGCAGCAGCAGCAGCAGCAGCAGCAGCAGCAGCAGCACGCGTGGATTTCGTTGTTTATCTATGGCTGAGCTGCAGGAGTTTTGTATGGGGCCCAACACAAGAGAGAGAGTGGTAGCTCTGCTAGAGAAGACAACAGCAGGTGAGCTGCTGCAGCAGACAGCAGCAGCAGCAGATGGTGTTGCACTGCAGCAGGAGGGAAAGACAGCAGCAGAGAAAGAAGAGGGAGCAAGAGCAGCAGCAAATGCTGCTGCTGCAGCAGACACAGATGCAGCAGCAGACTGCAGCAAGCTGCTGCAGCTGCTGCTGCAGACGGTAAAGAGAGCCTTTGAAATAGAAGAACTCAGAGACGCCATTCTCTCGCAACCAGAGGCATGCTGCTGCTGCTGCTGCTGCTGCTGCTGCTGCTGCTGCTGCTGCTGCTGCTGTTGGTGGTTGTGGTGGTGGTGGTGGTGGTGGTGTTGCTGTTGCTGCTGCTGTTGCTGCTGCTGTTTCTGCGTTTTTGCTGCGGATTGAGATGCTCTGGCTGCTGCTGTGGATACTGCTGTCCTCGCGCTGCTGCTGCTGCTGCTGCTGCTGCTGCTGCTGCTGCTCCTGCTCCTGCTGCTGCTGCGCTGCTGCTGCTCCTGCTGCTGCTGCTGCTGGTTGCTGTCTTGTATTCTGCTGCTGTTGAGGTCGATTGCTGCAGCAGCATCTACATCATCTTTCTCTCTGTGTTTTGTTGCGTTGCTGCGGTTGCTGCTGCTGCTTCTGTTACTCTTGCTGCTGCTGCTGCTGCTGCTCTCCCTGCTGCTGCTGCTGCTGCTGCTGCTGCTGCTGCTGCAGATACGGCCTCTGTTAGCAGCAGCAGCAGAAAGCTGTTTGCCTTCTATTAGGGAGCTGGTGGCGCAGCAGCTGCAGCAGATAGCCAAAAAAGGAGACGCAGGTTAGTTTCTCCTCTGCTGCTGCTGCTGCTGCTGCTGCTGCTGCTGCTGCTGCTGCTGAGGAGACAGCAGCAGCAGCACACAGCTGCAGCAGCGATGCTGCTGCTGCTTTTTTTGTTGCTGCTGCTGCTGCTGCTGCTGTCTCCTTCTTTCTGTTGTCTATTTTTTGCGTTTTCATTTGCCCTGTTTGCAGTTGTTTTTTATTTTATTTATTTTATTTTTTTATTTTTTTAATTTTTTTGTTTTTTATTTTTGTTTTTTATTTATTTTATTTATGTTTTTATTTTTGTTTCTTATTTATTTTATCTATTTTTTATTTTTGTTTTTTATTTTATTTATTTTTTTTGTTTGCTTCGGCTTTTGTCTCCATCTCCATGTTTTGCTGCTGGCCCCGCTCACCCGCCCTGCTGCTGTTGCTGCTGCTGCTGCTGCTGCTGCTGCTGCTGCTGCTGCTGCTGCTGCTGCAGGCATAGAGTTTATATGGAAGGTGGAGATGCAGCGGCAGCTGCTTCTTCTTCTTAGAGACGAGGAGACAGCCGTGGCCCTCAGAGCAGAGACAGCTTTCTCGACGGTATACAAGGGTTTAGGGTTTAGGGTTTAGGGTTTAGGGTTT